GGCGGTTGTCGCGGCGGTCGCGGGGCAGGCGGTTGAGTACCTGCTGCGGTTCGAGTGTCAGCTGTACAAACTCAGAGACGAGGAATACGCGGTCGACCTCCAGGTGCGGCGATTGGGGACTGGCTAATTGAACGAAAACCTCTGATTGGGTGTTGTTGGATCGCGGGTTGATAGGCTTCCCGGTGGCGCGCGTTTCTGGGGCAGATTCCCGAATGCATCCACCTTTTCTCAAACCTGAACCCTCGACATCACCAAACCTCGTCGATGACCCCCGCAGCGGCTGGAGGGGGAGCTGCCGTTTTTCTTGGACATCTGCGGGCGCGTCCTCGGGGACATCCGAGGCGTCCTGATCTGATCTGATCTGGCCTGATCTGGCCCGGCCCCGGTCGGTCCGATCGCCGGCCTTGGGGCGCTCTCTGGCGTTTTGGTGGTGTGCTGGGCGGGCGCGCAAGCCTGCGCGGCGCGGCAAGCTCGCCCGACAAACCCCAGTTTTGGCGAGTTTTTTGGGTCGGGCCACAGGAATGGTGGTTCCTTTGACCCCGTGCACCCGCCAGCTGTGCGACGGATGAACGGGCATTGCACATAGCAGGCGGCGGCCCGCCCGCCGCCGCGCAGTGGCGGTCGTGGCGCCCGGGGCGCCTGCTCCTTGCAGCCCCCGCCCGACCCGACAGCTCCCCTCTTTTTCACAGCAGCGGGGCGCGTCTTTCCCGCCCGGCCCCGCGCAGCGCGCCCGCCCCACCTGCCTGCAGGATTTTTGCAGCGCGCTTTCGATCCGCCAGATCTGCCATGGGCGCCCTGATCGTCCCCCGCCCCCTCGTCCCTGCACGCGATTCCGTTGCCCCGCTGCGGGTTGTGGCATCCACTGGCGGTGGCCTCGGTTTTTTGCCCCGCGATCGCTGTCCCGCGAACGCGGCGCCAGGCGTCTGGGGCGAACCCCCGCTGCCGGCCCCCGTCGTCTCCCCCCCACTCTTGATGGCCCCATGCCTGGGGCTCCCACCGAAAGGCTTGGGTCCCTGCTTCGCGTCAGCGCCGACGCCCCGCGCGCGGACAAAGTGTGCGGCCGTCGAGTTCGCTGCAGCACGCGCCGCTAGCCTTGCGTGCTGTAAACCTTGGACCGTGATAGAAGACTCCACACGGGGTGACGTCATCGGCAATGCATTTCCTGGGCCCGGCGCGACTGGACCTCCTTGACCCATGGGGCAGCTGCTGCTTAGAGGCTGGTGGGATGGGTTCGAACCCTGCCAGATGCAGCACCCACACCTTGTTTCTCTCGGGTGCGCGATTTGGGCGTTTTACCCTGAGAACATGAACAGTCGGCAGCGGGTGAAGTGCTGGCTCAGGTTGGGGGGCCCTGCAGGTCTCAACAAAGGTGGGAATGAGGGAAAAGGAGTGTGCATGGGGCCACAACAGCCGTGCAGAAAGAGCGGGACCATCAGACAGGTGGGGCAGGTGCAGACCGGTGCCAAAAATCTGTTTTTGGGCAGGGTGGCAGCGAGGACGCGGCGCCGACAACTGCACAGTCAACGGTGCTGCCATGGAGCGAGGTGTACAGCGTGTGCCGCGAGAAAGAGAGGGATAGGACAGGTGACGCTGCGGCCAGCGCAGGGCTTGGGAGCAACAGGGCGGATCGTCTGACTGCGCGCGCGTCGCATGACGTCATGAGACCCACGGGCGTGCGGCGGTTCACCCACCCTCCCAAGGGCTCAAATGCAACCATGAGGGAGGGGGGTTGGCGGGCGGGCGCAACCACCCCCTCCCTATTCCAGCACTCGGACGGCGCAGATCGTGCTGCCCCCCGCCGCCCCTCCAACTTCCCGCACCGCCGCCCTCACGTCAAGCCCAGCCTCAAACCCGCGCCGCAGCTCGTGCAGAACCTCCGCCGGGCAGTTTTCTAGCCGCACGGTCAGCGTCTCCCCGTCTTCCGGGTCCATCAACTCGGCGGTTTCAGCGGTTAGGTCTATCAACTGGTGCCGGCACTTTGGGGCGCCGCCGCCAGCCCGGCCTGCTGCGCCTGGTGCCGCCTGCTGCTGCTGCAATTTATCCAGCCATCTGCATGTGTTGTTGTTGTGTTGTTTTGGGGGAAAGGGAGCTTTTGTTTGGACATGGCGCATGAGGGGAAGGAGGCGTATGAGGGAATGGAAGGCAAACGGTTCCAGCGGGTGGCAAAGGCTCAACATCGGAAAGGCGGGTGTAGGCAATGAGTCGGCGCGACCCGTGAGTCTCAACGCCAGGGGCCGGAGCGAACAAAACTCCTGTCCACAAGGCGCGCCACGCGAGACCCCTTGCCGGGCACGCGGCCGCGGCAGCGCGCCGCTTGCATGCCGCCCTTCGATGCGCGCCGGGGGCCCCTCGGCGGAACCCAGCCGTGCGTGCGGGGCAGAGGGGCGCCGAGGGGACGGGGCCAGCCGGGGCGCGTGGGGGGCTGCGGCATGGGCCGCGCTGCTCACTTTAGGAGGGCCTTTTTATGGGCTGTGGTGAAGACCGTGAAAGGCATCTTGAGGGCTGCATGGCGGCGGGGCCCGTTGAGGAAAGGGAGGGGCGGGCGCGGCCGAAAGAGCGTGACATAAGTGCGCGCTAAAATGCACAACGGTGCTCCAGAATCAAGGGTGGGGGAGGCAGGCGAGGGGTGGGGTACGTGAGGCGCGGGGGCATTCTCACCGCCCCCGCGAGCGAGGTGTGCACAGGCCGCGCGGCAGCAGCCCTTGCGCCTGGACCGACGCGAATCCAAATGCAGGCAGCTGGGGCGGCAGGGCCTGCTGGCGCCGGCCACAGCAGACACCCTTGTTCCATCCTCCCCGTCTCCTCACACGACACAACCTGCAATCCATCTAAACCAATGCATCGGGGCAATCCTTCCACCCACCATCCTCCAAAAGACCCAACGCAGGTGAGTCCACGGGGTCACCGCCGCCGCCGCCGCAGCCGCCTCCGGCCGCGCCCCCCGCCGCCGCCGCTGCATATATTGTCACCGCCTGCTCAAGCAGGCGGGCAGGGCGAGGCGCGGTGTGGTGGGGGGTTGCAGTGGCAGGCGCTGGGGGATAGGAAGTGTGCTGGGCCACGCAGAAAATCAACAGGCAGCTAGGGCAGCCTTGCGTCCTTCAGGCACAGCTGCTTGCTGCACGCTTCGATCGCGTTCTTCAGAACAGGATAAGCAGCGGAGTGGCTTGATTGGCAGTGGTTGCTTGTCGAGGCAAGCGAACTCAGGTTTTTTCACCATCCTTCCTTTAAACTGGATAATTTATCGTGTTGTGTTGAACGCAGGGCCGTCCCTGACGCCGCTGCACCGCCGCGCTCCCTTGCCACCCCTCAGACACACGCAGCCTCTCCCCCTCCCTTGCGCGTGTGCACAAACACGCGCGCACACGCGCACACACACCTGATAGAGGTGCTCCTGCTCCCCTGCAGTGAACCTGTTGCCCTGGTTCTTGAACAGGAACGATCTGTTTTAAGGGTGCACGCATCACAATTATCATCGGAGGGGAGAAAAATGGGGTTGGGAACCCCCATGCGCGTACTGCGCATGCTTTGCTTGCGCATGCCCTTCGCGATCCGCTCCGTCCTGCGTGCCGTTGCCACGAGCTCGGAACTTTGCGCCAGCAGCAGCTGCCTGACCTCGGCCCATCCTCAGCCGCCCAAGCGCCCCCGAACACCTTCAACTCAAATGCAAGCAAACCTGAGTTTGGCGATGTCTTTCGCAGTCTTCGCATCCGCCGGCCGCTTCGCGTCCACCATGAACCGCTCGCACCGTGCGTCCATGCCAGGCGCCCGCCACAGTGTCCTCCTCTGCCGCTGTTGGCAGGCCGCGCAGCGCGGCAAGCGCGGCAGAGCAATCGCAGCGCTGCTACTGCCGATGCAGCGTCGCCGTGCTCAGCGCATCGGATGCACAGCGGTGCTATGAATGGTGCGATCGCGTGTGAATATCGATCCGTAATCTGGTATTGAATGGGGCCGTGTTGAAGCAATCCCGGCTAAAATGCGGCTTGAGTGGGAAGATCGTGCAGCTTTCAGGATCAATAGACAAATTTTTAGGAGTGTACGTGACGGCATCGATACCGTTAGTAAGGTGCTGACAGTCCTGGTGGCTCGGAGGGAGCCCGGGTGCCAACAGTGAGGGTGACAAAGTCTGGCTGCATGGGGTCACGATCAAGACCTGCAATTGCCGGTGATTGTGCATGTATATTTTCCACTTATATACCTAATGTGCGCTTGGGAGGGACGCAAAGCAGACTCGGTGGCGCCTGCCCTATGCCGCGTTGGCTGGCGCTTTGGCTGATGAGATTCCTGGGCCGTTGGACTGACGGCCCACAAACATGGAATTTACGTCGCGAAATCTTCTCTTGACGCACAGCGAGCGCGGATGACAGAATCAGACCTGCTGGGGGCACATGTACTTGCATGTGGAGCGTGGCAGGCAGGTTCGCGCCAGAGGTGGCCAGGAAGGCGGCGTCCGTCACTGCAATACGAAGTGGAGGGCAAAAGGACGAGAGACGCGACGAGCTTATCAGCTTCACTCCAGACAACGTCATCCCTTGTCAGATGCACTTAAATTGCACACGCCTTGTCGACCACATCGAAATTGTTCCAGGCGAGGTTCAAGCTGCCCAAGCTGGCTCATTCGGACAAGTGCGGTGAAAACAAATAACCTATAAGACGTTACAAACTCTTTCGGCGCATGCCCGCGGGAGACCTAGGGGGCAGCACTGTCTCCGTGACCGGTCCAGCAGACTTGGGGGCCGGCAGACTGTGTTTTGCGGGTGAGTGGATGCGCTGGATACATGTCAATTTTGTGAGGCCTGTTGCGGTCATCCGACCGGCGGAAGCGCGAAGCGGCAGCGGTGGCGATGGTGTTCTCGGCGCCGTGCGCCGCCCGCGCCGCGACTGAACCATGTGATGCAAGGAGACACCCATGGACCGCAGCTCTACATTAGTCCCACTGGGATCCCTTGTGAACCGCCTTTTGTTTGGACGAAGCCTCGAAGCACATGCATATTCGAGTTTTAATGGCGTATGGTGGGAGCACCGCCATGGCTGATCCTAGCGTGTCTTGCCCCCAGAAAGCGTGTGCCCACATCCCATCAGCGTCAACTTACACCCGACACCTCCCACTCCTGTTTTGGATGGGATGTGGTACGTCCGCAGGACTGGCGGCGTGCAGTGTCCCGCCCGCCCAGCGCGCTGCGGCGGCGGCGGCGATGGCGGCGCCGCAGCAGCAGCAGCAGCGGCGGCGCAGGGGGTGGAGACAGAGTCCACAGCTGCAACGGCAGCGGTCCGCCCTGCTGCTGTCATGGCTGCTTGCTTTGGTGGCGAGCTCAGGCCTGGTGACAGGAGTTGCGGGGGCCCGCTTCATCATCACAAGCACCACTGGTGAGCCTTTCAGGGGGGCACGTGATTTGCAAACGTCTCGCGGGCGATAGCCACCAGCCGGCCGTTGCGCCACATTTGCAGCTGATCTGACACCACAATGAAAGCGCACAGTAAACGGTTTGTCGTGCACCCTGCCGTACCTTTATAAATCACACACACACACACGCGCGCGCGCACACACACACACACACACACACACACACACACACACACACACACAACCACTTGCACTCATGTTGGTCTACGCCCCCAAACACTCAAAAACACACTTTGCACTCTCACACGCACGCGCATCCACGCACTCTTTCCACCCCTTGCACGGCGCGCGCATGCTCTGCACCCTGCACCCTGCATGTGCAGACGACCCCCTGAGCCCGGCGCCTGGCAGCCTCAGGCGGGCCCTGCTCGACGCGGCCGCCTCAAACGACACCTCCAACTCGATCGTCTTCGACACGGCTTTCTTTGGCGCCAGCGCGTTGTCCCCGGGCATCACCCTCGTGGCGCCCTTGCCGTTCGGCAACTGCGCCGCGGGGCGGCGCCTGCAAATCAACGGAGCCCTCAGTGCCGGCTCGCGGGTGGCGGCCAGAGTGAGGATAGCCGCCGCCGCGGCGACGCGGGTGACGAACGTGATTTCCGGCAGCAGCTGCTCGATCGACCTTTTGAATCTGAATTTCGAGGGCGTCGGGTTCGAGGTCGCCGGCGCGGGGCCAGCGTCGGCGGCGCCGCGGCTGGGGCTCTCGGGCGTGCGGTTCAGCGGCGCCGGGAAGGCGCCCGGGCGGGCGCTCGCGCTGACCGGCGGCGCGACCGCGTCTGCCTACGCGTGCACGTTTGAGGACCACTCGGCCGTGGCAAACGGCGGCGCAGTGCTCGCGCGCGGCGCCGCGCTGTCCCTGTTTAGCTGCAGCTTCTCGCGCAACCGAGCGCCCGACGGCGGCGCAGCGGTCACGGGCGGCGCGGTGTACATCAACGGCGGCGGCGCGGGCGGGACGCTGGCGGTGCAGTCGTGCACGTTCACTGGCAACGCGGCGGCGTGGGGCGGCGCCGTGGGCGCGGATCTGGCAAAGGTGGACATTGCAAACTCGACTTTTGAATCGAGCGACGCGTCCCAGGTGGGGGGACGCTTTGCCATGGGGTTCATTGACAGGAGCGGGGCGGGGGCGTCGGCTGAAAAAGGGCTTGCACGATTTCTGATGCGCAGCTGCGAGTGCCCGCGAGCTGGACAGACACGCAAGGGGGGCGAGGCGGGGGCTCAAATGGTGGAGTGGGCGGCCGGACTCGGCGAGCAGCTGGGCTCGCACGGGAGAAGCTCTGTTTTGGCGGCATGTGCTCCTAAACTTCGTTGTCTCCAGCAGTTCGGGCGCCGCTCCGCATCTTGCTGGTCAACACACCTTTGACTGTCCACAAACCTTGCCAACCCCAAATGCGCCAGGCGTCCGGCGGCGCGCTGGCCGTGTCGTGCCGCGCAGACAGCGACGCCCAGCGCCTTGCCGTCCGCACCAGCGCGTTCCGCGCCAACCGCGCCGGCAGCGGCGGCGCGGTCGCGCTATGGGGCTGCTACAGGGCTGTGGTCGAGGACACCACCTTTGCCCTCAACGTAGGCGCCCGCATGGGCGGCGGGGCCCTCGTCGCCGTCGCGCCGTCCGGCCTCGTAATCAGCCGCTGCCTCTTTACCCTCAACTCCGCCGACGGCGCCGCGGCCGGCGGCGGTGCCCTGCTGCTCTTTGCGGATGCGGCCTGGGGCGCCACATGTACGACCGAGGTGCGGCAGTCGACGCTGGATTCGAACACGGCCGCAGGCGCGTTTGGCGGGAGCCAGGCGCTCGTGTGGACGGGCTGCGGCCTCGCGGCGGCGTCGGTGACGTGGGTCGACGCGACGGCGCCAAAGGCGGCGTCCGCGGCGCCGGCCGCGGCGCTGGCCGCAACGGCGGGCGTGAAGAGGATGGTCGCGCGGGCGGCGGCGGCGCACCTGCCCGCAGCCGACGCGGGCGCGGCGGCGCCTCCCGCCGATCCGGACGCGCGGGCCGCGGCGGCTGGCGGGCAGCTGCTTGCAGCGGAGGGCGTGGTGCTGCAGGCGTCAGCGAGGATGGCCTCTGCGGCACCAGATGCCCCGACCGCACTTGACGTGCCGGTCGCGCCCGCCACAGGCGCAGCGGGCGGAGCGGACCCCCCAACGCTCGCGCCGCCGGCGGCTCCGCAACCGCCGGACGCCGCCGCGGCCGGCGCCTCCGCCGACCACCACCCCAGCTTCTTCGGCAGCTACGCGGGCGCCACGGGCGCACGCCGCCGCCGCCGCCTGGGCGCCCGCGCGGCGGCCGCCACGCCCGCGGGAGAGCTGCTGCGCGCGGCCGGCGCCGCCACCGTGGTCAACTCGGTCTTCTCTTGCGGCTCTGCAGCCGCGTGCGTCGGCGGCCAAGTGTCCGTCCGCTACAGCCTGCTGCGCTTTGCCTCGGGCGCTGCCTCGGACCGCAACCTGAACTCCTCGGACCCGCTCCTTGGGGACCTCAAGGACAACGGCGGTTGGACGCTGACGAGGATGTCGCTGCCGGGGTCGCTGGCGGTCAACGCGGGCAGCGTTGATCTGGTCAAAGACAGCGTTGACCAGAGGGGCATGCCAAGGATCGCATGCGGCGCGTTGGACATGGGCGCTACTGAGAGTGAGTGGCGCACGTTTGGTTGCTGAGGTGTTTCATACGTGATTTGCAGGTTGTAGTTGTGTGGAGGACAGCTTTGTGTGTGTCATGGTCCCTCTGCAACGGTCTGATGTCTGGCCACAAAAAGGGCCCGCTGCCGCCAATCAAGGACGCCGGCGCGTTTGCACCCCGTTGCTCCTGTTCACACTGCCAACACCCGGCACTCTCGAGCCCAACTCCTGAACGCGCACCCTCCCCGCCCCACCAGGCGCTACCGGCCTGCAGGCGGTGCCGGGCGCAGCTGCGGTTTACTCAACATACGTCAACACCCCCCTCGTCATCGAGGCGGCTGACGGCCTCTTTTCCGCGACCCGGCCCCCCCTCTTCACGTCACCCGCCGCCACCCTGTCCCTGGCCACCCCGAACCCCCGGGTGACGCTCGACGCGTCGACAGGGGCGTTCGTCTACTGGCCGACGTTCGGGTTCGCGGGGCGGGACGAGTTCCGCGTGTCGGCGTCTGGCGCGTCGTGCGGTGGCGCGACTGGGACTGCGGGGCCCGTCTCGGTGTACATCGATGTCGCCGGCAAGCCGCCGCTGCCGACGCCGTCCCTGGAGGCTGCAAACATGTCGGCGGTCCACTGCAAGCTCGCCCGCGCGCGCGTCGACGTGAACGCGCTGCAGATCGCGACGGCGTCCCTCCAGATCGTCCGGGACGCCGCCGGCCGCGCGACGCGGCTCGGCGCGCCGGACGGTGTGGTCGTCCAGATCACCGCGGGCCGCGCGGGCTGGCCGGCGGTGCGGTCCGACGGGTCATCCGAGTCCAGCTGCCACATGCGCGTGCCCGGGGCGGCGCTCGCGCCGGACGGGCCGAAGTCGCTGTCGATTCGCCGCTGCCGCGACTGCGTGGCGTGCTTTCGTGAGTTGAACAAGAACTGCTCTGTCGCGTTCCGCGCGCGCGTCATGGCGCGCGCGGGGGCGCGGGCGCCGTACACGGCGAGCGGGTGGTCAGAGGAGGTCAAGATCAATCTGGCGTGCGACAGGATCGGGGGCAAGCGCTGCCACTGGACGTGAACGCGTTGCTTTGGGGCACAGCCTGGGCCGGTGGGCCGGCCTGACTCAACTTTGACCCGCAGGCGCAAACCTGCAGTGTCAAAGCCCACTGATTTGGTTTGTGGTGCGTTTGACCTACCTGCATATTTGTGCATCGATTGGGGTGCTCCCCCCTCACCAGGTGCTGCATTCCATCCTTCATCACTTTGTGTGACTGTGTACCATCTTCCCTCTCCCCTGTCCTTACTCTTGCCCCCACCCTGACTTTGTCATCCGTGCAACGATAACATCAACTCGCATTTCATTCTTGTTGTTACCATGTCCACTCTTGCTCCGTTTGCTGGCAGGAGCGGTTTATTTTACTGCCAGTGCAAGCAAATTGATTGCTCATGAGATGGCCTGTAAGCGGGCTGTTTGCTGCATGTGCAAAAGGAGCGCAACATTCAGGTAGTGCATATGTTTTTCTGAAGCGCCTCAAGAGTGTTTCGGCCATCAGCGCGTGCGTGTGCAAAGGGGGCAAAACTTGTGTATCTGTTTCCCCCTTGTCTCTCTTGTCCTGCCTGCTGGCTTCTCATTTCGTTGAGGTTGCCGGCCACTGGCCCGCGTGCCCGCTGGCAATGTTGGTGCCGTTGACATTCCTCACCTGGAAGCTTCCTGGGAGGTGCTCAGTACATGAGTATTGTAGTGCTGATGATCACTTGGCCCCTGCATCTCTTCCCTCGAGCGCCCCGACGCGCCGACTTGTTTGCACTGACCGCACGGCCCGCACTTGTAACTGCCCCAACGCGGATACTTCCTGGCTGTCTTGCTGGATGGGTGTGAGAAGCAATTTGTCAAAGATGCAAAAACCGATTTTGAGTGTCGATTCAAATAAAGATGAATGCATCAGCAAGGGTTGTCACATTGAAGGGCAACCGCATTGATCTGTGTGAGATCTCTGGGGCGTATAAGCCTGCAGGCGCACTTTGAACACGGCTTGCATGTGCATCAATGGGGTGTGACAATTTGAAGAGTGTTTGAAGAGTGTTTGGATCGTGTTAGATATCAATTGCTGTACAAACGAAAGTAATACTTTGGGCATTGGCAAGTTCTAGTTTGAGTGGCAATAATGGAGATTCTACGGTGATGGATGTGAGAGGCGCACGTGTTGACACGCCGCCATCTCAAGAGTATTGCTTGCAATACGCCTGCCCACCTGCCGCCTTCACTGCGACAATTTGTGATGGCTAACACACTCTTCATAGTAGAGAACGCATCTCTTGCACAGTACTCTGTAAATTGCCAGAAGAGAGACGGTGCGTACAAAAGCCCAATCGCACGCGCCGGCAGCGGGCCCGCCGTCGGGCGCGCCCCACAGCTTCCCGCCTACAGCAGGCGGCGGCCGCCCGCGGGGGCCCACTTTCCGGAGTCGGGGTCGACGTCCGTGACCGACCGCGCCCACTGCTGGCACAAGCCGCCGGCCTTCTTGTGGAACACGGCCTGGAATTTCTCTGCGCTGCAGCTGCCGAACCCCTTCGCGCCGGCGTCCTGGCAGGGCGCGGTGTCGCCGGCCGCCTGCTGGCAGCTTCCCATCGCGATCCTGGAGCACTGGGTGAGGCTGATGGAGCCGATCGCGTCCGCGCCATTGACGGCGCCAAGAAGTTGACCCTTTGGCTTGCATTGCTCCATTGCGAAATTGCAAGCCGACTGCGAACGCGTGGTTGGGAGTCCGGAAGGTTCATCAGATGAATGGGTCATGAAAGTTGTTGCTGATAGATGGCTTGGACGATGCATGGATGGGTGGATCGGGGGACGGGCCTGGTCTGAGCCGAGACAAAATGGCACGCAGGTCAGCTGCTGCTGCACCGACAATGCGTACGTTCGTGCGTGGACGGGGGATCTGAGGATCAAAGAGAGGCAGGGAGGGGGAGGACGGGGCGCCGGGCGCGAAACGCAGTCCGACGCGCGCAGGCTGCGGCAGCCGGCAGACTGGCGGGCTTGGCGGAGTGCCTGCCACCAGTTGTGGTTCCGGTTCGGTGACGCCGGCGCACACCTTGCCGACCGCTGGGCCCTGCGATGCACCGACGTCCATGCATGTGCTGCCCCTGCCCACTTTCACAGCGTCCGGCGACGGCGGACAGTATACTTTGCAGGCACGCCAGCAGTCTGGGCTCCGGCACTGAGAGCAAGGTGTGCATTGGGCGGCAGCGAAGGTGGCCAGGGCCACGAAGGAGAGGCGCGCAGCAGGTGCATCTTGGAAGGTTGCATCGTCTCAACAATTTGTTGTTTCGAGGTGGAGCAACCGCCGTAGGCTGGATGGATCGCACTGCTTGGAATTTGACGAGTGTCTCGTTGGGTGTAAACTGTTGCTGAAATGCGTACTCTCAATCAAAACAACGGTGAAGTGGGCGGAGTATGCGAGGTGGGGGTGACACGGCCTGTGACAGCTGCACGGCAACTGGGCTCACGGGCTGGTCACTCGGTGACGAGCACATCGGTCAAACTGCTGGCTACAACCCGTGATCAAACGTATCACTGAATCGTTGATGCGGCCACGCTTGCCAGATCAGGCAGCGCGAAGGCTACATTAAACTGCCGGCGCTGCACGGGGCTGCGGGGCGCAGTCTACAGCCATAAGCGCAGGGGCACTGCATCGCCGATCGGGGCTGCTGCCGCCTCCCCAGCCATCAGTAACGCACATTCAAAGACATGGTGCAGCTCATCACGCCCGTGAAAAGTGGCTGTGCGGTGTGCATGGACGCCTGTCCTGCCCACATCACCTGTCCTGCTCACACGCAAGCTCCTGTGCGGGCGTTGTGCCTAGAGTATGTGTTACATGGCAGTTTCATGATCGCAGTGCCTGCGGGGCCACATCAAGAAAGCTTCAACAAGCGTAAGCGTAAGCTGCACAACAAGAAAGTGCGTGGAAGGTCAAAACTCAACAACTCGACATAGGGCCGGCCGTGCGGCCAAGCAGTGCATCTTGCAAGTTTGGGCGCTGTCGGTCAAATAACAGCGTGGCCACGCCTAAAATGCATACATCGGCAAAACATTGCTTCCTGAAGGTCCCGTGATTAGGTGAAACAGTGTGGTAGCCGGCACTGGGGAGCGGCTGCAGTACTGTAGGTGATCGTTCTTCGCTTACACATGCATTGGCAAAGGTGAAAGCCTGCATGTTTTTGAACATAGCAGATCGAAGGCAAGACTCTGTCGAAGTCTTGAGGATCGATGCAAGACTCAGAATCACAGGGTCTTTGGCCGACCAGGCAGGCGGCATCACCGGTGGCGCCACGCCCCTTGCCCTGCCAGGCAGACAAGTGGAAAGCCGCCCCTCTGACACAAATGTGAAATGCACACCTCGGGCGCGATGGTGGGGCCGTGCGGGCCGCATTACGCCCTCAAGAGGCGCCTGAACGAGCCCCATGCGGGGGTGTTGAAAGACGGTACGCCCGCGGGCGGCCAGGCCGCGCCTGTGGACGGCCACGCCCCGGGTGCAGGCGGTATGGCCCCCATAGCCGCCGCGCTCGGGAAGTCGTTGATCCCGGGCGGCGGCACCCAAGAGGGCACGCCGCCCGCCCGCGGCAGGGCAGGCCACGCGCTGCTGGCTGTGGGCCCCTGCTGCTGCGGGCGCGGCTGCTGCTGCTGCTGCTGCTGCTGCTGCTGCTGCTGCTGCTGCTGCTGCTGCGGCTGCTGCCGCGGCTGCTGCTGCTGCTGCTGCCGCGGCTGCTGCTGCTGCTGCTGCTGCTGCTGCTGCTGCTGCTGCTGCTGCTGCTGCCGCGGCTGCTGCTTCGGCTGCTGCTGCTGCTTTGGCTGCTGCTGGTCTCCAGCCCACTTCCCGGTGTTTGGGTCGACCTCCGTGATGCCGCGGGCCTTGGCCTGGCACAACTCTGTAGCGCGGGCCTGGAAGACAGCCTTGAACCTCTTCCCATCACACTTGCCAAACCCCTGGGTGCCGGCGTCCTGGCAGGGCGCAGTCTCGCCGGCGGCCTGCTGGCAGCTGCCCATTGCGATCTTGGAGCACTGGGCGAGGCTGACCGACCCGATGGCGTCGGCGCCCATGGAGGCGCCGAGCTTTTCAGGCTCATCCGGGGCGCAGGTTTTCTTGGCCCATTCGCAGGCGTCCTGTTGGATAGCAGTGGGGCGTTTGGGGAGGGGGAAGCACCCAATTCTTAGCAGCAGGTGGAATGGGCAGACGTTGGCGACACGCTCGATGCAGCTGCATTTGCCCATGCCCCCGCCCAGGATTTTATAGCTGCCCGGCAGCCGCGCGTCCCAACCTGCTGGCGTACCGCATGCGCGGTTTGTGCGCCCCTCACCTTGCCAATGGCTGGCCCTTGCTTCGCGCCGGAATCCATGCATGAGCTGCCCTTCTTGACTTGAACGGCGTTGGGCGCCTCTGGAGCGCAGTAGACGTTGCAGGTGCGCCAACACTCCGGGCTGCGGCACTGGGAGCAGGGTGTGCACTTGGCCGCGGCCGCGGCCGCAACCAGGGCCAGGAGAACGAGGGCGCGCCCCAGGTTCATCTCTGTGACCGTTTCAAAGTTGTGAAGGTTGCGTAATGGCTTGCGAGAGCCCAGAGTCAGCGTGGACGATCAGCGAAAATCGAGCAACTTCGCGATGTTGTTGGTGCTCTGCTGCGATACTAGTGAGAATGCGCATCGATCATCTGCACTTTTCAATGCAAAGATTTTGGGGTTTCATACCCTGGTGATTGGCCGGTGTCACTGCAGTTTGCGACTGCACTGCAGCAGTGCAGGCTGGTGGCCGGAAGCAGCCCGGCAGGGCAGTGCCGCAGCTAGGTGGTAGCCGCTGTGCTCTCAAAGCACCACAGCTGCTATATACACTCAATTTGAGCGGCTCAATACATGAAAATGTGCATCTGCATACATTGTGTGGTTGATGGAAGATGCCACAAGGACACCAGGCGTGACGACAATAGTCACTGGCAGCCGAGCACCGGCCTAGCCCATGCGTACTGCAGCACCAACCCACCCGGTGCCAAGAGCAATTTCAATACCAGCTTTCCGATGCCCTGTTCACTGCGGCATGCTGGAGTGAGAGTCTGGCGCAAAAGTAACGGGCTGTCGGAACGTCACCGGTCTCTTTCCATGGGCCCATTGCTTTGCCAGGGCGCTGGACACAGGTGTAGCCATTGCCATATGGCGGCCGCTTGCAGCGCTCTAGCATGCGTGTGTGTGTGTGTGTGTGTGTGTGTTTGAGAGAGTGAGCATGTGTGTGCGCGCATGCACGTGTGTTTCTGTGTGTGCGTGTACGTGCATGTGTGTGTGTGCGTGCGTGTGGATGTGTGTGTGTGTGTGTAGTGGGTGTGTGAGTAGTGTGTGTGCACAACCACGCGCACACGTCTGCAGAAGCATGTGCAGATTTCGCACGCATGTGCAACCATGCGCATGCGTGAAGAAGTGCGCGTGCATGTGAGCACGATCGTGCGTGTGGGCATGAGTGCGCGTACACGTGCGAAAAAATAGGTGCGTGAGCGTGTGAACTTGTGAGGGTGTGGGCGCGTGCGGGGAGGCACGTGAGCTCAAGACCAGCCCATGTCAGGTTGCCCCCCAGAGGCAGGCAGGGTGTTGCATGGCCTCAACACACTTTTGTGTGGCATGGCGGTTCGTACAAGCAAAACTTTAGGTGAAGAGTCTCTGGTCAAGTGAGTTCAGTCTCAGCTAAGCCCAGCGTTCGCCACGCAAGGCACCACGACGATTGCGTGCTGGTGAGGCGGCGCCGCACAAGAACTCAAGGGGGGCAGTGTTGTGTTGCCAAACCCACACGAGTCATCATCTAAGTACGCAAGAGGCTTATTCATTGCATATGTGTTTTGCAATTCCAAGCAGTTCAAGGATTGCGCACTTGCTTTGCACTTGGGCGGAGATCGCAGCAAATTGACCCTACGAATCGCGAACGGCCCTGCAGCACTGCACCAAAGCGGAGAAACAGCCAAGAATTCAGCAGCAATTGATGCTGAGCTCCTACTCGCGCCACCTCGGCCGCCTGGCCGTGCCGCGCCATTGTGGCGGCACCCGGTGCTTGCGCAGCCTCTCAAGCGGGAAGCTTGCCGGGGTGGCTGCGGCGGCCGCGGCGGCGCAGGACGCGACAGCCGACACACTCCAACATGTGAGGTGCAGCATAAGTCGCTCGCGCAGCCTGAGTGCATGCGGCCATGGGAGAAGCCTGCAAGGCATACATGCACAGTCCCGCCCTGGGTGCCGGTGACCGCCGCCCCGCAGAGGTGTGGCAACAGGGACTGACCCGGCCCCCCAAACGCAACCATCATCGCATAGGATCCGATAGAGTGGCCCGGCCTGAAGGCCTGGCGCGCCGCGGGCCCCGACCCGCGCCGCGGATGGGGGACGCGCGGCGCGACCGCCGGCCCGGAGGCGGCGCCGCCCGGCGACGCCGCAGCCGCGGGAGTCCAGCTCGCGCCCTCGCTGGTGGAAGCAGCCCTGCAGGTGAGTCGTGGTCGACGCCCCAAGCGATGACCCCCAGCCCCCTTGTCACGCTGGCGGCCGCCGTGCCGGCAGGACGCGTCGCACAGCAGCCGGGCGGGGGTTCCAGGCGCGAGCGGCGCCGCGGCGGGTCCCGGCTGCTGGGGTCCGTGTTTGCGTGGCCTTTGACTGCGTTTGACCTTGACTGCAGGCGGACCGGTCTGGATTCTATCGCTTGATCCCTGACTCCACGACTGCCACGCGGCTCTGCGGCCACTGCGCCATGCACAAGGTGTTGGAGACGGCAGACCCCGCCATGAAGGCCGGCCTCGCACACCAAGCCTGGTCGCGCTATTGCGCAGGCGGCCTGCCCCTGGGCACTGACGGCCGCGGCGCAGCGCTGCCCGTGCCACGGCGCCCGGCGCGGCCGGAGCGGCCCAGGCTGGTTGTCCCGAAGGAGGTGGGCGGCCGCCACTTTTCCGCCCGACCATACAACTCACCAAACCGTTTATTCCTTGCAATTGGACGTTTAAGCCATTCTCAATCCCCCCTTGCATGAAGCCGCCGATTCGCAAGCACCCATGTGCCTGGCACCGCCCAGGGCACCGCCTCATTCGATCGACCAAGCCCCGCCGCCTCCTTCGCCACCGCGGCTGCGCCCTCAACCCCCAAACCCCATCCTCCTCGTCGTCTCCCCCCCCCTCCTCCAGGTGCCGTCCCCCAAGGACAGCCCCCTACCCCTGGCAGCCCACATGCTGCACAACCTGGCGCATATAGAGCTCAACGCGATAGACTTGGCGATGGATACTGTGGCTAGGTAAAGTTTATGGGCGGGACGCAGATGTACAATCCACGCAGCCAAGTTCGTGCGCACGCCGTGCCTGCTTGGGAGCTTGCACGCGCCTCCGCCTTCGGCTGCCCCGCGCCACCCTGCTCTGACGGCAGAGGCCCCCCGCCGACAAAATCGCCTCGCCCCGAATGCGCCCCCCGTCTTTGTCATCGGATTCTCCCAATCCAGGTTTGCGCACCTGCGGCTGCCTGCGGCTTTCTACGAGGACTTTGCCCGTGTGGCGGACGACGAGTCGCGCCACTTCTGCTGGACGCTGCAGCGGCTGCACGAGCTCGGGGCCGACTACGGCGACATGGCGAGTGATCTGAGATCTGAGATCTCAGAGTTGCGGGCGTTGCGCGCGTGTCCCCCAAGACCTCGGCGCCCTGCACATGGGTTCACAAGCAATTGGAGGGCGGGTTCGCCCTTGAATGTTTGAGCCAGCAGTAGCCTGCATGCCCCTGGCTGTTGGCTGCATTGATGCCGCTCGTGAGTCACTGCACGCCTTGAGTGGCCTTTAAATCCTTCCAACCGTTCTCCACCAAACCTGGGCCCTCCGTCGCACTTCAGGTGGCTCACAATCTGTTGTGGGAGGGCGCCCAGCTGTCGTCCGGGGATTTGAATGCAAGGTGGGCGCCTCTTTGATGCCCTGACGCTGTTGCGGGGCCCCGCCATGGGGCCTCATGGCATGAGAGGACGGGGGGTGGGGCGGTGGGGTGAGGGAAGGGCGTGCTCTCACAGGCAGCCCTGCGGCCTGGGTGCCGGCGATACACCGCGCCTGCTGCCTCCTTTCAGGGCAGGCGTGCACGCGGGCGGCGGGCGCCGCCGCGGCGCCGCGCGCTTTCCCCTTTGTTGCCCATCCTCGCGCGCCAGCTGGGCCGGCGAGCGCGCCCGCCCCAGGATCCCCATGTCATGCGCCCCAGAAAGCCGGCCGCCGCGCCATGCCCCACCGCTGCCCACGCCCCAACCACCCACACCCATATAAACGCGCAATCTCCGATGTTCCCATTGAATGCATCACACACTACTATTCATCCAGAATGACTGCATCCTCTGGACCCCCTCCACACACCTACCCCAACTTGACGCGCGCACGCCGGCATCCACACTAGCTGCCCCAACAAACTCACCTCCCACCGCAAACCACATCAACCCCAAACCCTGAACCCAACAACCCTAAACCCCAAATTCGACAAGAACAGGCTGGCGATAGTTCCTATGAGCCAAGAGGCTCGCGGCCTTGATGCGGGGCAGCGGCTGGTGGCGCGGCTGATGGGGCTCGGGGACAGGCGCACCGCCGGCATTGTGGCCCAGATCGCGCTCGAGGAAAAGGCTCACGTCGCCATTGGTGAGTGGGAGTTTCGAGGGCGGCGGCGCCTTTCGTGTGCGACATGTTGTTTGTGGCGCGATGGCCGTGTGCGTTTGAGAGTCCGGACGCATGTGCATGTGCACGTGCTGTTTTTCGTGTGTGGGTGTGTTTGCGGGGCAGCGTCGCCGCGTCGGCAGCGACGCCGCGGCGATTGGGGTCAGTCGTCTTTGCGTTTGTTGCCTTTGTTGACGGCATCACATGAGCCGTGAGCGCAACAGGCGGGCTGGGCGTTGTGCAGGACGGTTCGGGATACTACAGCACTGCACGAGTTGGGCCATCTTGATGGCGGGCCATCAAAATGGCCCGACCCTCATTTTTGTTGCGCCGGGCTTTCTCATTGATCACAACCTCACCCCCGATACCCGCCACCATTTGCTGCGTATTCTCCGTATCGACCGTGTGCACATTATCCACATCGCCCCTCCCCCCCCTCCGCATGACGTCACCATGACGTGGGCGATACTGCAGGCGTCGCCTGGTTCAAGCGCGTGTGCGAGGCCCAGGGCGTCGCCGCGCCCGGCGCCTTCCGGTCCCTCCTGGCGTCGCTGTCCCCTGAACTTCTGAAAGGCCCCTTCAACCACATCGCGCGGTCCGAGGTTGGCCTGTCACAGGATTGGTACGACGTCCAATGCTGGCCCGAGGGCGAGCGCGCGGCGATGGTCGCGCCGGCCGAGGCGGCGGCCGCCAAGGGGCGCGGAGAGGATCCGGCGGCCGGCGCGAGCGCGGGCGCAGTGGGTGCCGCGGCGGTGACGGCAGGGGTCATTGATGGTGCGGGGTTGGAGGAGCTGCGGCGGCGGCTAGCGCTGATGCTAGACACCGAGGCGGCGGCCGCGGCCCTGTGAGTTTCCGAGCAGCTCCCATCGCGCTCGGGCCGCCAGGCGCTGCGGCAGCGGCTGCAACTGCTGGATCGAGAGAGGCTTGTAGGGTTGAGGGGTTTCATCGGGCGAGCCGTTCAAGCTGCCAAGGGCGGCTGCGCAGGCACGCCCTGCGTGTGGGCGCGGCCACTCTATGCACCGAGAAGGTGCCAAACAGATGCTGGGACGCATCCATCAGCACTGACATTCTATGCGTGCGGGACTTGCCTTTCCGTGCCCACTTTGAGTCCTGTACTTTTGTTGCATGACTCCGTGCACACTTTGAGTGCTCTCATTTTGTTACATGAGGGAAAGAGAAGACGCCTCGGGGCCGGTGCCCTGGTGAGCAGGTTGGGGCGGCAGGGTTGTGAACCTGCATGTCTCAGCAGGAGAAGCGTCAATGGGAAAAACGGCCATTGCACCACTGCAAAGTCGGATGGCTCTCAAACTGGCGCGGCCTGCATGAGACGTCCGCGGCTGCGCCGCACGGTCAAGATCAGGTCAAAGTCAAAGTCAAGGGATCCCCCCTGCATGCCCGGCGAACGCTTGAGAGCAGACCCCGCGCCAGGCGTGCCCCCGAGGGCTGCTGAGCGCTTGGCGCGGCCCACAGGTCCAATCGCGAGCGGAAGGAGGGCCGCGGGCGGCGCGAAAAAGCGGCGCTGCCTGGCCGCGTCCCGCTGCGGCGGCGCGGGCCGCCCCAGCGCGCCCACGTCGCGCCTGCGCCCCGCGGCGCCGCCTTCCCGAGGCGCCGCTTGCCGCGCAGAGGCAGGGGCGCGGAGGGCCGCGCGCGCCGCGCTGCTGGCGGCCAGGCACCACGCCTCACGGCGCCCCTGCCAGGTGGGCCCATCCCGTGAGGGAGGACCCGGAAAACAGCCTGTCCTCCGCCCTGACGTGGCCGGCCGGCTTCTTATATTGCTGCACTGGCTGAGACATCAGGCCCTCGTAGCCTGCGCGGATGAGGAGGGCGTTTCGTGAGGGCGGTCAAGAGGGGTGGGGTGGGGGAGTGGGGGGATTCCAAGGTGGAGGGTGGGGGCAAGGGAGTGCCACAAGAGCGCTGCGGGTACCGTGCTGCTCGCGGCATGCAGGCGCGAGCCGTCCCGGGAGGCGGTCAGCGCACGCGGATTAGCGCGCCGCGCCGCGCCACGCCGCGCCGCAACGCGCCGCGCGGCGCGGGCTGTAGTGGGGGGACGATGCCCCCAGCGCGGGGGCTCGAGGGGCGTCCCCGCGCGGCGCGGGCGCGGCATGTCAGCACCTCTGAGCGCGTTGGCGGCGGGGTTGCAGCCCTCCAGGTACTTTGTTTCAAGCTCGTAGATCTGGCCGGATCAGATAACATCAGATTGGCGAGCGGGGGCGGGTGCAGCACTTGAGACGGGCAGTAGGGGCCGCCGCAGCGCAGGCGGGCAAGCAGGAGGATGGCGGCCCAGCCAGAAAGAGATGGGGCAGGTGCGACAGAGCAGTGCGCCGGCGCTGCCCGCAGCCCGCGGCCTGCCAGTCGCCCGTTGCGGCGTGCGGCGCTGCAAGTGGCACCCCCCACAGCCCACCCC